CCTGTCTTACAGGAGTCTAAACATCCCCACAGCACCCTGTGCACAGTGGATTCCTTAGACGAAAGGGTCTTGGGGATCACTGTGGTTAATGTTTACTGAAGATTTCTCTCCAGAGTGCAGCAGCAGTGAACAAGATGCAGGGGGCACAAAAGAAAGGGGAGGTAGTGTCAAGTGAGGCACAAATTGTGAGTGTTTTTATCATTAGAGGCCTCACTGACATTTCAGACTTCCCTATTACCTCTCACTAGGATTCCCAAAACATCTCACAACATTTAATAAGGCTTAAATGGGCAGAAATCATTCTAAGTCTACTACTCAGACTGCAAATGCAGGTCAGGAAAACTATGTGCATAAGGAGAGATGCGAGTGAATCTCCTTAGAAATACTGAGTCTTAAACCTTTCCACTCATGTGAAATGGGAAAGCATTGCTTTATATTAGTATTATTATTTTGCAGAAAGTAGTAAAATGAACTCACCCAAAGTCACAGAGAATTAGACTAGATTCTGTCCTACATTTCAAAATAACAGGAAGATATCATCAGAGTTTATAAATCTTTAGACCTTCAAATCATTTGAACTGCAATTTATACCAGTGAAACCGATTCCCTCACTTTTATTGCAGTCCAATATTTACTGCAGAGCTAAAACATTTAATTATTTGATTGAATCCTTCCTCCTCCATCATTTTCTCTAATACTTGTAGGTATTCCTGCAAATAACTGCGTCCAGTGAGATATTTTATCTTTCCAGAACAGAGTCAAACGCCATAAAGAAAAATACCAGCAGCTCTGAGCACAGTTAACGCTCAGGAGAAAAAACAAAGAACGAACCCCAAACCTGACAGCCATAAGTATCCAAACTAAAAGGCTCATTTGTTATTGCCAGAAAGTCACTGCCTCATGCAAGTTAACTGTGAAGAGCACAAGTGTTCATTTTTAATACAATGAATATATATTTATTCCATATCCAAAGCCCAGTATACATAACTACAGCAGCACAGCCATCAATGGTAGCATCAGTATATACACTGGGTTGCAGCAATGCCATCTTTACTCAGAAATAGTTAAATTCTCGTCTTTAAGCAGGACTGCAGCGAGTCAATAAGCGTATGCCAGCTAACTAAAACAAATTAAGATGCTGAGAGATAGCGTAGTCTCAGTTCAGTGACAGGCACTCTCCACATGAAATCACTGTTTAAAGGAAAAGCCAACGTTTCACTCAGTTCTGAAACTTTCAAGCGTTATATCAAAATAAAGGTGTGAAAGATCTATTGTGCTATTTATTCATGAATAAGCAGTTTAATCTGATGTCCCTGAACTCAAATAAGTACCTATCCTCTCTGGTCAGTCTCTGTTGCTTCATTTAGACAAAGGAAAATTATTTTGCTCTTTTGGATTATTACATATTTACAGCATGTTTTTAAACAGCAGTCATTATTCACTCAAAAGATTGTTTTATTTCAGTAGTGGTATAAGTAATCATTATCTACCTCACAGAGAGCTGAGAGGCTTAACCAGTGTTTGCAAAGCATCTGAGATCACCTGAAGAAAGGTAAGGATGAAGTACTAGCAAGATTACTATAAATCACTGAATACCCTGAGCCAATTCCTGCCCACAGGTCTAGCACCTCTTCCTATCAGCAGCTCTCTGGCAGCATGATCTAACAAGTGGTTTCACTCCCTCTTCATTCCATGTAACACTACCACCATCTGTTTAAATAGCATAAATTCACAATCATTCTGAATGGTTTTTAATAACTTCCCTAACCAGTGTAATAGTTCTTTGCTCTCTGGATGATTCAACTGGAGAGGATTACCGGCTACTCACAGCCAGATCAACAGTCACAGCAAAAAAGCCAGTTTCTTTCCTATGCATTTGTAACTTTACGGAAGTACCGCTTACTTCCTGTCTTCTCCTGCCCCCTAGTGAGCTTTGATTTTCTCTCCACCTGAAGAGTCATGTAGTTGCTTTATAGCTTAGATGCATACAAAAGCGCTGAAACACTGAACTGTTTCAGATTTACATCCGTTAGAAGTGTACTCCATATCCTTTTCCACTAAGCATGTCAGAAACCAAAGATGATCTTTCTAGCTTGAGAGTTGCTAATATGCACTAAGTGATTTTACTTAACAGGGAAACACCCTCAAAATTGGCATACCATAAAAGCACGTTAAGCCTATCAAAGACAACTTACATTTGTTAATTTATATTTCTTAGCTTTCAAGCTTAGAGGTTTGAAGTTAGAAAACCATACACAGGTTCTTTCATGAATGACTGCTTACTCTTAAAAAAGTATGGCATTTGCTGCCTAGACTTCTATAGAAAGCAGCTTGAATACAACATCAGAGCAAACCCACTACTATACCTAAGAAAGTCAGGAACAGTAATTCAGTTAGACCTTCATAAAAAGAAAAAAAAGTCTACTTTAGCATCAGGTAGGTTTATGGGAGGTACCTCCACGCTACTGCCTTAACCAGTAGCCAGCCCAGCAATGCTACTTGGTACGATTTAATAAATATGCTTAACATTGAAAGTTTTCAGGATTGAGCTCTTAGAGGAGAGCACTTAAGAGAAGAAACCAATACCACTTATTATGCTAACTTTATCTGCCCTTCCAGCTATTTACCTCCAGATGTAAATGCAACTTCTTTCACGTACTTCCTGAGAAAATTTTATCTCAGTATTATTCCCAAAAAGCAGAGTTGTCAAATATATGAACCCCAGACCTAAGAAAGTCCAAAGGAAACAAATACCTTCCCAGAAAGAGTGCTTGGTGAAGAAAGTTATTACTTTATAATCACAATATAATTCTTTGCTACTACAAAGCCTGGCAACAAAACCTGTCAGCAGCCAGATCATCTTTTGAAAGAAAGAAGAAAAAACTGCAAATGGGACAGCAACAAGAACGCAGCAGCATATAACCTAAGGCTGGCTCAAAATTGAATGAATACTTTGCATTGGAACAGGAAGGCAAAGTAGAATAGATGGGTAATAATTCTACAGATACAGAAACTGCCACATATGAGTTGGAGGTAAGAATTAAACAGTCAAGTCAGGCAGATTCAACAATCCTGATTCTAAAACACTATAAAAAACAAAAATATAGTGTTTAGCAAAAATAGATCTTGCCACAGAAACCCTGTATCTTTCCCGATGGCATTTATATGGAACAAAACAACTTGAATTCTAAGTTGAACATATGAAGATGACATTTAAGCGGTCAGTGGAGTGAAAAACCAAACCTTAAAATGAAAGGTAAGGGAGCTTTGCTCATTTGGCTAGAAAAACAAAAAACAAACAAAAGAAACCCCCAAAAGTGATAGAATTGTTATATGTACACATGTATTTACATCAGCAAGGAAAAAAACAGAGGTGGTGTGAAAGAGAACTACTTTAAATAAAGCGTCAACAAGGTAATACCAGACCAAATCGAGAGGAACTGTAACGTCTTTACGCAACAAATAATAGCCTGGAATACCTTTTCTGTAGATCAAGGGAACACTATGTAAAAGATGTGGTGCTTCATAGTTTACAGTCATGATTCCACAAGGAAGATTCTCATGCCAAAATAAAATCAGTTCTATGAAATAACTTAGCCATTAGCACTGACCATAGAAATTTCAAGAGTGATCTCCTCTCTTGATAGGACACTAAATATGGCCCATTTGGTTACTGAATAGTCAAAATAATTTGGAGGTTATAATTAAAATGAATATGCCAGAAGTTGGTAAGTGAGGAAGATAACAAAATTATCTAGAAGCATATGGCACACACCTTCAGCCGCAAACCTTCATAGAGGAGTTTGAGTTGCCTTCCGCCTTTCAAAATGTGAATGGCAACAGGGACTTGATTTGACTTCTGCTGAAAGGTGAAATTAATCACAGCTTTTAGCTTTTGTTGCCAATAACTACCTTCTGTGGCTCATTCTGAGGTCTTGGGATTACCGGAATTCAGTACAGTCAGCAAATTTCCATGTATCACTTACGGCAAAGTAGGACAGATGGTAACTTCAAATGCAGAGAGGAAACAGAACTGGTTATACCAGTTTTACTGCAAAGGAAATTCCCAGCTGACTGTTTAGATAAGCTTTCCGTCTCCTCTACCACTTTTGAAAAGGGGCATCAATTACCTCTGACAGTAATATGGATAAAAAGGTCGGAGAGAGAGAGTATACAAACAGAAAATTTCATTCTGATTTTATATAGAGTTTGGCTTAGTTGAGAGCAAGACAGCAATTATGTTGTTTTAGAGGACTCTCAGTCTCCACTCATAATTAAAACTATCATTTAGGGCTTTGGAGCTTGGAAGGTTTAATTTTTTCCTAGAGAAAACTTTACAGTAGATCCAAGAGTTGTAGCAATAGGAGGCCAAATACTTGTCTTTGAAAAGCAATTCTGCAATGCACCTGCTGCTGTAAAACAGCAATGACAAGACTGTCAGAAGTGATTACAGATTTAGAGTACTTCTGTTTGCAAGTGTCCAAACTGAAGCATCCCAAATCAGCCTAATTTTCAACAGGAAAAGAGACACTATTCAGAAAAATTACATCTCTTGCACATGTCTCAATTTTTGTACTCAAAATCAATAGTATTATTTTAACGTATCTTGCCCTAAACATTAAATAAAACACACACAAAGTAGCAGTGTTAGAACGAAAAGTCATTTTATTCACCCGCTTAAAAGGCTTTGTCCATCCGTTTCAGCACTGTTAAAGTTTCTACAAGGCTGTAAGATAACAAACACTGGAATGCAATTAGTCTTTTAAAAGTGTTACAAAAGCCGGGACAATGTTACTTGGTGTTTATACTTTCACTGAATTTATCACTTAAGACAGTGAAGTGATTGGAATGGTAACACTCTGAACTATCCAGAAGAGCTGCTGTTTCTATGATGAAGCAGATATTGACTGTAACAAAGTCAAAATACGTAGGCCTAGGACCCATCTGTAAAGTTCAGGAAGCAATATAAGCAAGATAATATACTCAAAGGAATTACTTACTGAGACTTTCCACAAGGTCAAGGGCAACACGAGTAGCAATATCCATTCCAGTGTTAATGTAAGACTGGCAGTTTTTCAAAGATGAAAGAGAAGAATCCACACAGTTGAATGAGATTGTTGCACCCCCTGGCATCTTGAAACCATTAGTCTAGAAATAACAGATATAACATTCTGAATGCAGTTTACACACAGCGCATTTGGAAGAGAAAACAGAAGTACAGATAGCTAACCACAGAGCTGTAACAGGGCTCCTCAAACATCAGAGAACAGGGATGAAATCTCAGCTCCCAAAATGTCAGAGAAAGTTCAGTCAGTGGCACGAGTAGAAATGTGATTCACTAGAGGATTTCAACCCCCCCTCCTATTCAACGCTAATCAAAACTACACCACAAACAGCAGCTTGCAGTTTTTCATCTTCTCATTCCTATTGCTATAGCACAGTGAGACCGAAATACTCAAGGATTATGTTAGCTTGAAAGTTTCTGCTCTATTTCAGCTCCAAAGAAAGAGTACCCAAAAACTTGTCTGTTTTCTAGATATATTTGCAATTAGGCTAGTAAGAATATGACTTCTTCCATCAAATTGAGCCTCACCCAATTACAAGCCTGTTTCAACAAACAGCCAGCCCTCAGAAAAAGAAGAAAAAAAAAAATCAAATAAATGGTAACTGTTCTAAGAATGTATTTAGCAGAAAGTTACCTAATACTATTTCTTAAGTAAAAGCCTACCTTACAAATGTTAAGAATTTCCACCAAAGATGTCACAAATTTAGTTTATATTACCAATATTCTATTGGAACAGAACACTAAATCACACAAGACTCATGTCTGTGCTCTTTACCACCTTTACTTCCTTTCCACTACAGACCAACATCCTTGCTAGGACTAACTCCTTTTCCTCTGTCATTAACATGACCTTCAAGTAGCATTGCTTACACTGTCCCTATAACTTGAATCAATCATACTTTCCACATCAGTCGGTGGTCTCTTCTCAGAAGTTCCATCTTCTGCTCTTCCTTTTTTGTTCTCTGCTATAATTTGCCTAGACAACATGTAGCTAGTAAAAGACACATGTTGAATGCTGAATTTTATACTTCAAGTTGCAGGAAGTTAGAAAAATTCTGGTCAGCTTTAGGCAAACAATGGATTATAAAAAACAAAAGTCTTAAATAGATAGAAATACTGCATTAGGCCTTGTAAACAATAACTGGTATTATCAGGGACTATATTGAGACTATACTGGGGAGGGGAGAAATGAAATCCAAAACCAAAATTGGGGTACATCCCAAGTTAGATGCATCTAGTATGCAGAGTAACAAGGAGATGAGTCATTCTATGGATTACTCCCTTTCACAGGCTATAATCCAACAGAAATCAGGATAGTATCTAAATAGAAAGCACAAAACTTTATATCCGAGGCTCTGTCTCACATTTACTACTTTACCTGGGATTCCAGAACTATGTCTTACACTCATCCTAATCTGCACAGCACTGCAATCTTCCACATGAATGTCAGGCAGATTACGAGACTGGAATTTCTCCTGCCACCTTCTTTCCTCTCTTACAGTTTTTTTTTCCCTATTTTTTTCTTCTTTCTCTTTAAAAAATGTGCTTGGCCACTCAAGACTATCTTTTATGACACTGTTCTGAGGACACGAGCTTACAACAGCCTTTTAGCAACACAGCTGTTCAAGTTCATGACAACTTGAACTTCTAAATTGTATATGAGCAGCTTTCCTCTCTCTCTCTCTCTCTCTCTCCCCGCTGCTAAAGGTGCATCTTGTCATAAAGGAGGCTGCAATCTTCAATAGCTCCAGCTCATCTCTTCTCCTAATCTCCCCACCAAAATACAGCAATTGCTATCTAAAATACCATTTAAGAGACTGGTGATCTGATAACGGAAGACAAGGAAAAAGTTTCTTAGAGAACTTCTTGAAAGTAATGGAAAGGGATGCTCTTAAAGCTTAATTTAATAACAAATGCTTTAGGCTGTTACACTAAATTTTTTAACCTACTTTTTTAAAGCAGCTGTTTGCCATTTCACCAAGAGTGTTTATACTGAACCTCGGTAATGCAAACTTCATACACTGTTAAGTCACGTAAATGCATATTAGCACTTTTATCCTTCTGGGCCCATTCAGTGTATCAAAATTAACAGAGAGAACCTAATTCACTTCTTGAACTTGGTAAATCTCATTCATTGAGCAAGTCTGCTGTTCTTTTGGAAATTTCAAACACACACACTGTGAAAGACAGGAATCTGAAAAAAAAATAACAATGAAAAGTTAAAAAGGCTTCTTCCTTCTTCTGAAACATGGGGGAACACCGAGTATACAGGAACTGAAGTTACGTACAACACTAAATCATACCATCACATTGGTAGCTTCATCACAATTTGTGTTTTGGCAGATAATTTAAGTACCCATAGACAGACTCTTTTTTTTAAACAAAAGCTTAAACTTGATAGAAATAGTTGATGACCCCAAGCACAGACTTCCTTTTCAATTTTTTTAAAGTTAATTCTTCAAGTGTAACTTACAGCTGGAAGCTGTTCATGCTGCCTTTAGAGGAAAGGGCAACTTCCTCAGTGGAACAGGGTTTTGAGCAGTTTCTTTAAGGCACTCTCTTTTGCCATGAAGGTCTTCACTGGGTGCATCAATGAAGCACTTAAGCTTGCAACCCCCACCCTTCATCTTCTGGGAAATACAATGAGCAAAACCAAGATTCATAAAGGAGAGCCAAGTGAGACTGGCTGGTCAGTTTTTTCTTTCAACAATAAAATAGAAGACCGCAAAGCAGAAGCCCTAAAAGGTTAAAGTTTCAATTTTGCCACCAATTTTTAAGATTCGAGCAAACGACCTAACTTCCCTTTGCTCTATTCTTCCAAACTTTGAAACAGAGACAAAACGCAAGATCTACAGCTGATCAGGGCTCATTAATAGTATCGATCCCTACCTCCTACAACGGTCACTGTGCCACGGAGACGCTACTTC